CGCATTGTTGTGGAGGAGCAGGCGGCCAAGATGGAGACTCTCGAAAACAACTTGAAGAACAAGGTCCAAGAACTCTTTGCTCTTACGTCGAGCTTCATGGGCCTGAAAAAGGATCATGAGGGCACCAAGGCCGAGCTTGATGAGACACAGGGCGTTCTCGACCAGACGGAGCTTGTTCTGGCGGCTACGCGCAAGAGCCTCTCTGAGGAGACGCACATTCGCAAGGCCCACCAAGAGACCGAAGAGAAGCTGGCCGAGGTCGGTGGCGAGTTGATTGCCACTCTGCAAAAGACTGTCAGCGACGTTGACGGACTCCGAGCCAAGAACAAGCGCAAGTCTGACCTTCAGTTCATCAACCGCAGCGCCTGGGGCACTGCGCAAGCCGAGGTCTCTGAGGTGACCAGCATTGTTGAGCAGAGAGTCCAGAGCTTCCAGAAGAAGCAGCGGGAGAACATCTCGGGGGTTTCTGAGCGCATGAACGCCTTCGTCAGCGAGGAGTTGAAGAAGCTGTCCGATACTCAGAAGTTCTTGGATGAGCAGCTGGAGTCGTTCACCGAGTCAAGGAGGGAGCTCCTGGAGCAGAAGGAGAAGTCCAAGGATGAGATGGACGACGTCCTTGAGGAGATCAAGGTTGTTCGTGACCACGTCAAGGAGCGAGTAGGCGACAGCCTGCAGGCGATTGCCGGTGCTGCCGAGCGCATCGCTGCGGACGTTCTCAGTGAGCTGGACACCTTCCACAGCCAGGTAAATAAAACATGCAGTCACCATTCGGAACAATTTGCTAACATCTTTGCAGCTCCACTCTTCATACAGCTCTCTGGGCAAGGAGTTCAAGGGCATTTTTGAGGACCTCATGAAGCACATTACCGAGCAGCGAAGTGAATCTGATAGACTCAGACAGCAGCTCCAAGCCGCCACCAACACCGTTGTTGAGCAGAATGCCAACATCTCTGATCAGATGCAACAGGTGTTGGAAGACGAGAGGAAGCAAGCTGCGCAAGACCGCCAGAACCTGCTCGCTCAGATCACTACTCTCATCAACGCACAGGCCGAGACTCAGGAGACTCGCCTGGCTGAGAGGACTTCTCAGCTGCAGCGTAGTGTCCTGGACTCGAATGTGGTTCTACTGGATAGCGTCACCCAGTACTCTGAGGACATGGACATCTGGGACTCCAAGGAGGGCCAACTTCTGGAGGATGTTGCCAAGTCCCGTGACACGATGAAGAACAAGTTGAAGGATGACTGGAATGTGAGTAGCCTTGTCCCCTCAACAGCACATCACAAACTGACAAACGTAGACCGCAAACGATCACAGCACCGCTATCCAGGAGACCACGAAGTCGGTCCACGCCGAGACCGTCCGTGTTGTCGACGAACAGCTCAAGGACCTGGACGTCCAGATGGAGTCTTTGGATGCGTTCGTCACCCGCGCCCGCTCCGAGAACGCGTCGCACCACGAGAAGCACGGCGAGTCTATGGAGGGCTTGTCATCAACCGTCGAGCAGTCCTTTGGCAACATCTCCAACCACTTCAAGGTCACCTTCGACCGCGTCAAGGACCTCGGTGAGGAGATGGAGACCGAGACTGATGAGATGCAAGACGGCCTGGAGCCGCTCACTCAGGAGCTGTGCAAGCCGTTGAGCAACCTCCGCAAGGACATCGAGTCGACCAACATCAAGGAGTACCAGCCCACCGGCGCGACCCCCATGAAGATGCAGTACCAGTACCCAACCAACCTCCCCCGGACCGAAGCGCACGAAGCCCTCCTGGCCAACATGAAGGACGAATCCACCCCGACCAAGCCAGTCAGCGAGTCGATGGTCTTTTCGGACATTGACAACCCGGACCCCCACCGCTCGCCGCCGGCGCGCCAGTCGACCCGTATGTCGACCCTCAGCATGATTTCGGAGATGCCCCCTTTTACAATGAGTCTGCGGGAAGTCAACCCTAACACGACTAGCAACCTTACCTTCGACCCCTCGGCGAGCATAATGTCCATCAACGAGAACACGGCCCCGCTCCTCTTCAACAAGCGTACCTCGACCAGGTTCCAGGGCAAGGGCCCGCGCAAGCAGACTAGCTTGCTCCCCATCGAAGGACGGGAGAACGTGCCTCCGTCATCGTTCTCTCAGAGCCTGGGACCTCGCAGGAAGAGCCCCCGTTTGAACTGAGCGGATGATACTATGGATAAGGCAACTGGCTGTTTTGGGGAAATTGGTGTTTTTGGTATGGCAGGGTTTGTCACTGGTTGAACTGTACAGATAACAATCGCGGGTGTTTGGATGGCGGATTGGGCTTTTTGTGTTTTTGGGTGTAGGCTTATTGGTATTCTTGATACCCTTGACTTCTTTTGAGGATGTTACATTTGAAAACAACGTTTCTGTTACTGCAATGGATTGTTTGCCTCTCCATGAACGTCTATGCTTGTTGACAATTGAAGTCTGTTCTGATCATTTACCCAAGTTCTGAGATTCGATGGTAATGGTTCGTAACTGACGGTCTCATCTGATGATGAGCGTTGAACACGGAGACAACCTGATTTTAGTGAAGCATGATTCATTAACAGCGATGGGGAAGACGTTCATTTGATTCCTGGTCGTCGTCTGTGATTTATTGTGTATTTGAATACTATGTGGTTGATGCTGCGTTGACCTAGGATGACTCGAACGGTGGCTGAGTATCTTGAATGATGATCAGGCTGCGGATGGCTTCGGTTGTTTAAAAGGGAAGGGCTTCAGCACCTTATTTGAGGCCAGAATCAGTGTCGTTTCTGTCCTCTTTTCGCACTGATCTCACATGTGTCCTCACATCTGTGTCGCTCATGGACCAGTGTGGTCACTGAGTCTATCGAAGTCGATGACATCTACGTTTCATTCTTTATCTTCTCTGTCTTCTGTGTATTTTCATGGATAAGTAGCCAGCAATGACATGGAAAAAAGAAGCGTTGATCTAGATTGTGGAACAAGATCATTGGTAGCGGCGCTTATACGTCTCAGAAAACACAAACATGTTGAGAGGGGATGGGCAGCTAATATATTGTTGACAAACTGATTTTTTTTGCGGCAAATGCGATCAATTTATAGAACAGTGTTCACTCAAAACAGAGTAGCAGCTCAGTCGTTTCGCAGCAATCTTGAGTAGTCTGCTGCAAACGACGGCGATTACAAGAATGGCTGCCGTAGTTGAACGCAATATAGACAGAACTAGAAAAGTTGTGATACTCGACAGCCTCGTTGATGAAGAACTATCCTTAGCACCTGAGAAAGGATCCAAGTGACTGGCGTGGTAAAAAAGAACCTAATCCGATGAGCTCCATTAACAACAGCAGCGTTGTGTGATTCAACGAAGCTCCGCGATGTGGTGTTGTCATACGTCCCGTCCGCACTTAAAAGACAAATGCCAAAATGAGCGGATTGAATCCCGACCTGGTCAAGAACAGTGCCAACGTAGCCATAGACTTCACAGAGACCGAATTTGAGGTAAACCGGATGCAGAAGGAAACATGTCCTCGTAGAGATCCGCTGTCACCAGAGGGTGGTGACATCTGACGGGCCATCGCCTCCCCGCTCGTCATCCACGCCCTTGAGGAGTCGCCTCCAAGTCTACGTCAGTCCGTCGACGTTAATCGTATAAAAGCATCCAGTACTATATCTCTTACCCACTTTCCTCTTGAGATCATTTTCGTTTTTACAACCACGTCAGGTTTCATTTTGAAAAAATACCACAACTATACCCATCATTGCTGCCTCTCAAAATGACATATCCCGACCTGACATCCTTCAAAGCTCTCTCCTTCGACTGCTACGGCACCCTCATACAATGGGAGCAAGGCCTCCACTCAGCCCTCACCCCAATCTCCTCTCGCCTTCCCTTCAACACCCCCGAGGCTGAGAACCCAGTCCTCCTCCTGCAGCGCTTTGACACCCTCTCCGCAAAGCTCCAAGTTGCCGAACCAGAGCTGCGTTACAACATCAACCTCTCCCGCTCCTTCGTCACCCTTGCCTCCGAGCTCAAAGTCTCCGTCTCCGACGAAGAGGTCGAGAAATTCGGAACCTTGCCGGGGACGTGGCCGCCCTTCCCCGACACCAACGCGGGGCTGGAGATACTGAAGAAGCACTACAAGCTCATCATCCTCTCCAACATTGACGCGGACAACATCGCTGGGTCCGTGAAGCAGTTCAGCCCGGTGGAGTTCGATGGCGTGTACATCGCGCAGGAGATTGGGAGTTACAAGCCGTCGCACCGCAACTTTGAGTATCTGTTCAAGCACGCCAAGGAGGAGTTGGGCGTTGATCGGGAGAAGGGGGACCTGCTTCATGTCGCGAGGAGTCTGACGGCTGATCATGTGCCGTCGAAGGAGCTGGGCTTGAGGAGCGTGTGGATCTCGAGAGGCGGGGAAACGAAGGAGGGAGAGGGTGTTGGCGGGGATTATGAGAGGTTGAAGGGGGATGTTGGGTTTGAGTGGCGGTTTGACACGATCGGTGACTTTGCCAAAGAAGTGGACAGGCAGTTTCGGGAGAAGTCTGGGTGATCTTATGATCCCGCCATGTAGAACAGGCGTAGTTCAACGAAGCATTTCCCAAGAGCGTGTCAGTAATAATCAGTTGCCTTCATTACTTTGGGTATACCATGTCTCTCATGTCTCTCACGCACCCCCTCAGGAAGAATCCCAAAACGACTCCTCACCTCCAGCACTACCCTCGTCACCGCTCTGCAGCCTCCTGCCCCGATAATGCCTCTTACGCTTCCTCATCCCCGTGTCTTCCGCCCTCCATCCCTTCCTAGCCCGGATAGGCTTCAAGAACCCATCAACATGCACCGCCCCAAACATCTCATTCTCACTCTCGACATCATCCACATCAACCGCCTGGCCAGGATGTACCCTCGCCACATGCCTCTGCAAGTTCGCCTTCCTCCCGAACCCCTCCGCCGCCCTCTCACACCCCGCAACAGGACAAAAGAACAGTCCCACCGACGACGACCGCGACGCACTCCGCCTCCTACTCCCCGCCCTCGCCTCGGAATCGCTAGGCGCAATACTCTCCCTCCCACGGCTGCGCGCCCGCCTCTTTCGGCCCCGGGCATCCACACGATCCCCCTCGTCTTCCGAGCTCGACAACGAAACCGCGCGGTGGCGCCGCATCCCGGGGAGATAGCGCGTCCTCTGCGGCTTCGATCTCTTAGACGCCGGCCCTTCGACGAGAGTCTGCATGTCCATCCCCTGCCCGAACAGATCCGCGCACCGCTGCGCCGCGCGCGCGACGACCTCCGGTTTGAAGCCCGAGATGGACGCCGCGCCGAGGACGTCGCTCCAGTCGCGCAGGCCCCAGTTGCCGAGCATCGCCTCGCGCGCTTTAGTGCGAGCTTCCATGCGTGCTTCGGGGGGCAGGTCGCGCTTTTTGCGGGGAGATCTGGCGGGGGATTTCGGTGTTGGACGGCGCTTTTCAGGGCTCATGTCTTCGTCGTCGGCGTCGTTTTCATGTATGGCCGCAATATTATCCATGTTGGCGTTATTATCCTCCGCATCAGACGCGGCTGGAATCTTCTTCTTCTGCGCCCTCGCAATCCGAATCACCATCTCCCTCTCCGTCTCCCCCGGCAACGGCGTCTGGACCTTCCTCGGGCGTCCCTTTCCCCTCTTGCCAGAGGCGCTGCGCTCCGGCTCCGGCGTGCGCGGTTCCGGTGTGCGCGGCGCCTGACTCCGCGACCGGCTTCGCTTCCCACCCTTCCTCGACGGCGTGCGCGATCGAGACCGCCGGGAGACGGCGCTGTCGGAGCCCTCCGCGTCGGAGAGATCTGTCGCCGAGGCGGAGGAGTCGGTCATGTAGCTCAGGCCCGCCAGACGGGCGTTGTGCAGGGTCGTCAGGGTGTTGTCCATCACGGTCAGGATGTGTCTGACGGACGGGCGGAGGAGGTTTGCCGAGAGGTCGTCGTTGGCGGAGACGACTGCTTCGTACGTCTTTGTTCGTTGATTCTGCGGCTGTTTCTCAGCAGGTTCAGGTTGTGGCTCATCTTCCGCGGGTGGTTTGAAGTCGTCCTCGTCGTCTGAGGTGACGCCGGACATCGTTGCCGCCGATTGCGACGTTGCGGCGGCGGCATGCTGTGCAGCGGCCTCTTTCCGCTTGTACTTTTCCTGCCGTTGGTAGAAGCGTTCTTTGGCCTGCCTTAGAATCGTGGCCGTGAGCTCGTCCTCCAGGGCGGTGCTGGGCATCTGAGGCGCATTGGACCGGATCGTGAACTCATCGTCCTCGTCATGCGTCTGCTTCAGGAAGTCGTCGCCGGGTACCGTCTGCGTGTTCATAGGCCAGGCAGTCCACGGGTTTGGCGGGCGCCAGTCGCTAGCATCCACAATCTCCTCAAGCGGTCTATCCGCGTCCTGTGAAATTTGAATCAGCAGCTGGTTGGTAGCTTGGAAGGCGCCGTCGGTGTACTGCCACTCACCTCTGCGTCAGGCTCTGCTGCACCCCCCCGGGTCTCACGGTTTTTCAGCGCAAACGCATTGTACAAGTGAACCGACAGGTCGCGGTTGCGGACTTCTTCGAGCGATTTGTAAGTGAGGCGCTCCTCCTGCGTGTAGACGTGCCAAGTCGCTTTGCTGCCCTTCCAGCGGTTGGGTCTGGTCTCGTACAGTTCTTCCGAATCGATTGAGCGGATCTCATCGGTGTCGAGGTCCCACTGTTCCTCGTTGGCCGTCATGATGGCATGTCATAGGACAAAGCAAGAACTTTTAATCAGATGCCATTTAGGTATAGGTTTTATCTTTGGCGATGACAGGAAAGTGTGTTTTGCAGGCAGGACCGTTAATCGCAAGTGTATAAAAGTGAGGTGAAGAAGGGAAAAAGTTGGGCCCGCCCACATCACACCGAAGCTCACCGAAAATCAAGCAAAGTTCTCTCACAGCAAGGCAACAACTCGCACCATACAACTAGGCATCATCAGAAGCGCTTTATTTCATGTCAGAGTCACAAATGCAAGAGCAGTCAAATGTATATCAAGCAATTTCAATTCTTTTCCCAACACCACAATTATGGTATAACGAACGCCAACTACATACAGTCTACATCAGGAAAAAAACAAGAAACTGATTCTTTTTTTTACGCCTTCGCCTTCTTGTTGAGCTGCTTCTCCAGCTTTCTCCTCTTGGACCTCAGCTTCTCGTCCTCGGCGCTCTTCTTGTTATTAGTGTACTGCATCTGCTCAAACAGCTTCCTCTTCTTCTTGCTGAGCATGCCCTTGGCGCGCTCAATGTCCTCGGCCTCCTCGGCCACCTTCTTGGCGTGCGCCTTGCGCGCCGCCTCCTTCTTGGTCTTGGGCTTCGTCTCCCTGCGCTTGACGCTGCCGCCGGCGAGCTCGGCCTCGAGCTCGATCTGGCGCTGCACCTCCTCGTCGTCGGACAGCTCCTCGTCCTCGTCCGCAGAGGCGGCCTCGTCGTCATCGTCACTCTCCTCTTCCTCGTCCTCGGATCCGGCAACGTCCATGTCGTTGTCGGCATCCTCCTCGTCGACGTCCATCTCGCCGTCGTCCTCGCTCTCGGCAAGGGCCTCGCCTTCGGGCTCCTGCTCTTCGAGAGGGATGGTGGGGTCGTAGGCGCCCTGGACCTGTCTGACAAAAGGGCTGAGATGGGGAGGCAGCTGCGCGCCGGGGGCATACTGGTCCGCGGGCTTCAGCTCCTCGTCGTTGACGCTGTCCCAGACCCATTGAGGCTGGACGTATATCCTGCCGGGGATGCGCTGGTTGGGCGCGAGCTTCTGGGCTGTCTGGTTGTCTTCTCCATCGCCTCCCTCGTTTTGCGCAGCGTAGATCTGGGGACGGTCGACAATCTGGTGGGTGATGGTGGGGTCGCGCTCGTTGGTCGTGAAGGCGCCCTCGCCGAGGACGGCGTCCCAGCCGATGCGCTTGCAGCCGAAGGAGCGCAGGAGGAACTCGAGAGGTTGTCTCGGGGTCTCACGGGAGAGGAAGAAGGTGCAGTTGGCGAAGAGCTTGCCACGGTCGGAGCTGGAGTACTCGGGCTGGGGGAGGACGTCGCCACCGGGGGCAGCGGGCTCGAACTTGTCGATGGCGTCGGTGGACTCCTCGGTAGACTCGGCCTTCTCCTCCGTCTTCTCGTCGTCGACGTCGGTGTCCTTGAGCTTCTTGATAACCTTGTTCACGGCAGCCTGCGTCTTGGGGTCGACGTGGTGCTCCTCTCCGTTGGCGATCTGCTTCTGCTCGGCGACAGCGCGATTCTGGCCCTCGATAGTGAAGGCGCCGAGCTCCGCAGACTTGTCGTCCATGTTTTTGTCGAACTTGGGAGGGTACTTGAGGCCGATTGAGGTGTACAGGCGGAAGTTGATGAACCCCAGGAGGGTCATGTAGAACTCGACGAAGGTGCCCATGATGCGGAAATCGACATCGCCAACAACCCTCTGGTTAAACTTGTAAGGGACCAGCCACAAGACATCCTCGCCCTGAATGTTCGCCTGGTAGTAGATGCCCTTGATCGACAGGAAAGACTTGGTGACGGCCTGCGAAACGATCAGGTAGTGCTGGAACTCGAGCGTCAGGCGCTCGCAGCGCGCAATCATCTTGGCCGGGACAGACGAGGACGAAGGCAGGTTGGCGAACAGAAAGAGCATGGAAAGGCAGTCGTCGAGATCGCGAATGGCGTCGACAAAGGTAGGGTAGCGCTCGCGGATGACGTGGTCGAGGGTGTATCTCGGCTTGCCCGTCTCCTCGGGGCGGGCGGCGTTCTTCTCGAGCCTCTTCGCATCGCCGACATCGCCACGGCCGAGGGCGCGCGAGATCTTCTTCTCGAGGGCCTTCTGGTCGCGGAACTTCTGGAGCAGCGGCTCGTGCAGGAGGTACTGGATGTCCTTGGCGTAGTAGAAGGTGGTGGAGGCGGTGGAGGACTTGGAGACCTTCTTCTTGCTGCGCGGCTCGCGAGGGTAGATTCCCTTCCAGATGCAGAGCTTGCGGAAATCAGGCAGGCTGATCTGCAGCTTGCGGATGGCCTGGTTTCTGGTAACGTAGTTCTTGGCCGCTCCGGCCTGTCCCTTCTTCTTGATCCTGGGCATCTTGGCGGTTGGTGGTCGTCAAAGTTGGGTGGGAAAAGAAAAAGGGTGGTGGTGGTGGTTGGACGGTTCAGAAGCTATCAAAACTTCCTGTCGCAGCGGGGCACCAGTTCTCGACTCTCTGAACTTTTTTTCCATTGATTTTTTTCTGCCGGGAGTTCACCGCCTTGATAAGATCTAGGGAGGGACTAGCGCAGATCCAGAAGGATGCTCATTGGGCGCTGCTATCTAATCGGTGGAACGGCCCCAGCTCCAGGGGTTCAACCCACTAATACCAGGGCGACCGCGCTGAAACCGAGGCCGTCATTCGCTGAGCGCGCAGCGGACCAGCGCCCCGGACCAGCCAGGTGTCATCCCCGTCCCATCCAATTGTCCATCCCGACTCACAGCTCCCGTTCGGCTTGTCATCCGCGAACCTCAAGCTCCGCGCGCCGCCGCATCGTCACCACGCGCAACACCCCCTCGGCCCCTCTCTTCCACCGCCCTTCCGCCTCCCTCCGGGTCATGGACTGAACAATGACTGCCGGCACAATGAATCAGGGAGGCAACAAGACGGGCGTCTACGCCGCAGCAGCTGCGCTGCGTCTGCTGCTCTTCGTTGCGTTCCCCGGTCTGCCTGACCTGCTTACCGGCCGTGTCGAGATCTCGACTCCCGTCACGAGCTTCAAGAGACGTAGGTCCCCCTCTATTTGCGTCTATACTTCACTTGCTGACCCTGCCCCGTGTACAGTTCAAGAAGGCCTCTTCCTCTACAACCACAACGTCTCCCCGTACGACGGCGGCGTCTACCACCAAGCGCCCCTCTTCCTCCCCGTCTTCTCCCTCCTCCCGGACCCGAAGTCCTTCCCCATCTTCACCTACATCCTCTACATCCTCTTCGACATCCTGAGCGCCGATGCTCTCTCCAAGATCGCAGACTCAGGCGAGGCCGGGACCTCGCGTCTCTTCACCTCCCCGCGCCGCGGCAAGCGTTGGAGCGGCCTCGTCGTCGCATCACTGTAAGCCAACCTCCCCCCCTATCCCCTCTCACCAGCCCTCCCCGCTGACCATTCTCCCTCCAGCTACCTCTTCAACCCCTTCACGATAGCAACCTGCATCGGCCGCTCCACCTCCATCTTCTCAACCTGCGCAATCCTCCACGCCATCGCGAAAGCCATCTCCGGCGCCCCCCTCGGCGCAATGGTCGCCCTCTCCTTCGCGACCTACCTCTCAATGTACCCCCTCCTCCTCCTCCCGCCGCTGCTCCTCCTCGCCTACGACCGCCAGGACCCCGCTCGCCGGATCGCCTCGACCTCGCACTTCGCCCTCGCAAACACAGGCGTCGTCGCCGCCGTCCTCGGCGCCCTCTTCCTCATGTCCTTCCTCCTCACCGGCGCCTCCTGGGAGTTACTCTCCAGCACCTACGGCGCCCAGCTCACCCTCAACGACCTGACCCCCAACGTCGGCCTGTGGTGGTACTTCTTCATCGAGATGTTCGACTCCTTCCGCTCCTTCTTCCTCGCCGTCTTCTGGCTCCACCTCTCGAGCTACGTCCTGCCCCTGACCATCCGCATCCGCTCCCAGCCCCTCGTCGTCCTCACCCTCCTGCTGGGCATCTTCGCCATCTTCAAGCCCTACCCCTCCATCGCCGACACGAGCCTCTTCCTCGCGATGCTGCCGCTCTTCCGCCACATCTTCCCCCTCATGCGCTACACCTTCGTCGGTGCCGCGACAATCATGTACGCCTCCTTCCTCGGCCCGGCGTTCTACCACCTGTGGATCTACGCCGGCAGCGGCAACGCGAATTTCTTCTACGCCATCACGCTTGTTTGGAGTCTGGGCCAGAGTCTGCTCGTCAGCGACCTGACGTTTGCGGTGCTGCGCGACGAGTGGGAGGTGGAGCGGCCCGACATGGTGGGCAAGGAGATCCGACAGATCTAGGCTGTAAGAGTGGACTTCCTTTGATGTCCTCCTGTTAGAGATACATGTATGAGATACATGTATGTGTACGATTGTTTTCTGGGACTGCATTGGTAGCATTAAAAGGCCGGTTTACGGACGGAAAACGACGACCTGTCTACGTAATCGGGACAGCATTATACAGTTTTATGTCATGAGACTCATTGATGCCTCTATCGTATCCTCTATCATACTTTTGAGTTGCGTTTTATGCCCTTTTACCGGGCCTTATGGCCTAACCGAACCGAAACCCATCCATAGCCACACCACCCATGCCTTAATCGACACTCAGCTCCTGCTCAACCACCCTGTGCTCATCCCCGCCTCCCCATCCCGTAGCCGGACTCGCCCTCGGCGCATCCGCAAGTCCAAACGAGAAATCCAACATAGCGCCCAGCTCCCCAAACCGCCGCAGGCCGCCCTTCTCCGCATCCCACACCATCGTCCGCGCGCCCCACGGCGGCAGACTGCGGTACGTCCACACCCCGTACGCGATCGCCGTCCCCGCGACCAGCACGCCGCCCGCAAGCGCAACCGTCCTCCGGTCCGCGACGCCCGCGGCCTTCGTCTCCGCGCGGCGGCGCCAATCGCCGAGGTAGAACTCGCCCAGGTTCGGCGTGTGCTGGACGACGGTGTCAAGCAGCCGCGCGGCGGTGCGGAGGGCCGAGGGCGGGGCGGAAGCCCATGGGAGGGCGCCGGGGCGGGCGAGGCATTCCTCGCGCAGGCAGCGGACCATCTCGTTCATGTGGGGGAACTTCTTTGCGAAGATGGAGAGGAGCCAGGCCTCGGGGGCGGCGACGGCTTGCACGAGCACGAGGTGCCCGAAGACGAGGCAGTCGAGAGATGTCGGGGCGTCGCCGCCGAAGAAGCGCATCTTCTCGCCTTTGGTGCGCTCCCCCTTTGCCCGCTGCTCCTCCAGCGGGGCGAGCGCGTCGACGGTGACGGCGTGCAGCCTGATCCCCCTCGCCGTGCGCGCCCTCATCTCCTCCATGACGCTCTTCTGTCCGCTCACGGGGAGGTGCTTCATTGCGCGGTCCAGCGTGCCCTGCCCCGATGAGCCGGCCTTGATACCGCCGTCTTCGTCAGCGTCATCGTCGTCCTCCCCGAGGCTGCCGAACCCGAGGTGAGCGCTACGAGCCTCGGCCCCTTGACGAAGCAAGACCGGGACGGTCCAGCTCAGGGGGAACCCGAGGATCTGGCTGAGGGCGGGGCGCGTGACGGCGGCCCAGTTGTCGTGGTCGGCGTAGAGGTAGGCGTCGAGCAGGGGCGCGAGGTGTGCGTCGACGTGCGCAGCGAGGGCGAGGGCGTCAGCGCGCTCGGACGGCGTCAGGCGGGAGTCGAGGTTGAGGGAGTGAGTGGTGCGCAGGTGGGATACGATGGAGGCGTAGCCCGTCACCCAGACGCCGTTTGCGTGGAGGGCCGGCAGGCGGTCTACAGGGTGGCCGTTAGCTTCTGGCCGTTTCGTTTCGTGCTGTTTCCTTTCTGCATTGTTTGCGTGGTGCCTGGGTTTCTTTGTCTGGATATGGGCAGTTGTTTGGGGTTCTTTGTCTGCAGGGCTGTTGTGGACACGAGGTCGCGTGGGTTCAACGGTGTAAGCCTCGTGAGGCTCCGCTGGTAAGGGGACTTGGCCTCGTGAGGGTAGAGGGGTGAGTGTGAAAAGCGTGGGATGAACGGGGCGTGGAAGGGAAGAGTGACGCGGATGTTGATGTGAGTCAGGGTAGGAGGGTGTTGGTGTAAGTGAGATACAAGCGTCACTTGTCACTTACTTGATGTGTCGACGGCAGGGTCGTTGCTCGGGACAAGACGCCATTCGGAGCTTGGGAGAGCGGTGTGAAGGTATGCGATGGCGGCGAGGCACTCGGCGTCGACGGAGGGGAGACCGAAAGCCGGGCCCCAAACGTGGAGTTCTAGAGGCTCCATCGTGATGGTGTGTGTGAGTGACGTGAGGCGCGTGTGCGTGAGTGAGCCGTGAGAATGAATGAGTGACGGGGGCCACTACCAGGGGAATGCACCGGCCGAGCGCTTAATCCCAGGTATCCAATTCACGCTGACTGGGGCTCCCTCAAGACCCTGATCACCAAGATGGGTAGCGTCCTAAGCGCCAGGGAGGAAATGATTGGGCTCGAGAATGACGGTGAATTGACGATGGAGGCGTCAAAGCTTGCCCGATGAGTCAACAGTCAGGCACTCACTCTGACGAGACGAATGGCAGATCAGCGCTTGTTTCGAAGAATCCAGCGTTTCGGCACGCCGTCGACAGAACACGGACTTCCTTCAGTGATGATCGTGACGTTTACAATGGGCGCGACAGAAAAACAGGGTCCTTCTTCGTCCATCCGCTGACGCAGCAGGCGCCGATGATCACCCCTGTCCGAGCTCTGAACGAAACGTGAAGTTGCGATCCACGAGGAATGAGGCACGTGACGATAAGGCGATAAGGTTGCCGCCGACAGGTAGATCTTGCTTTGCTTTCTCGGTTCGTCGGGTTGATCAGACGGGGGTCGTGGTGTTGGTGGAACCCAGCAAGAGACACTGGAGAGTGGGGAAAAAAGAACGGCTTTCCATATTTGGACAGACCTGCTGCCATCTGCAACGCAACATACATTACCTTCGGTACACTAAAGCAACCGCACCACACCCCTGACGATCCGGTTCAAACGTCAAGGGAAGGGGCGGAAAAAGAGGCCTTCCTCTCTAATGAAGTCCAAAACACGCCGGCCGTGGCGACGCTTTCAGAACGGCAAGATCATCGGGCCACGTTGAGGCAACTGACGGGCGCGCATCCCGTCCTCCACGAACCGACAACATTTTCCGTTCCTGCATAAACGGCGGCCTCTTTAGGAAGTTTGACCTAAACGCTCTGCTTCCAATTCAAAGAACCCAGAAAGTCTCCACGAGATTAAAGACTTTGTTGATGCGTGGTCGTACACGCATTGCACACGCCCAGCATCTTTTCGCCACTGGCGCCAGGAACCAACGACAGCGGCATGCAATCTAATTCCGTCTGAATTTCAGACGCACTAGAAACGAACAAACGGGGTGGGAAAACAGATTTGACGACGTGACGCCACCCGCGCAGAGGCAACGTTGAAGAACACCGCCCCTGTTTCACACAGATTCAAACACACGGCTCGTCAAGTGGGGGGGGGTCTTCGATACAGCAGCTGTTGGTCGCGGAATTTTCTCCACGGGTAGCGGCTTAATCAATCTGGTTACCCTTTCTGGGGAAGCACCGATCAAAGGTGTCACTTTGATGGCTCGGGGACAAGGGAGAGAGAGAGGGATGAACCTCAATCGGACAGGTTCAATTGGACTCGTCTCACCCGTCTCTGGGCGTGGATACAGATAAACGACAGTCCTTAGCTGTGCTAACCAAGCCACTGCCCCCATCTCCTCTCTCTCGCGCCCACCTCACGAAAGGGAGAGATGGTTCTTTAACTCGTCCCGTAGTATAGGTAACCGAGTAGACGGCACTTTGAAGCCTCGCTCGCACAGCCGTTCGTGGCGGCCCCCCGATTTAGATTACGACGTACACGCCATACTGCTAGCAACGTGCGGCAGTAAAAAGGGGGATAAATCAAGAAAGGGGGTAAATAACGTTTTGGACGACGACGACGACAGCAGCTGAGCTCTACTAAACAGCTACGAATGCACTACAGATACACTACTTGCACCTTCGCATCGTGGCGGGTGGATCCCTCCCATCCCATCCCATCCCATCAATCCACGTCCACGACTCCTCGCGCGTTGCCGCACCACGTTGACGGGTTCCGCCCATGGCGGCTCCGTACCGGGCGGCGGCGACGGCGCGGCGCAGCGAGTTGAAGAATAAAAAAACGGAGCCCACCAATGCAGCTATTGCTGCGTGTATGCATGCTACTGCACTGCACTCTCCCTCTGCTGAAGCCGCAATTTAATTTCACCGTCATGCGATTCGTCTTTGCCTTCGCTACGGTCTTAGCTCCTATGCGCCGTTACGGGGGAAAAGAGGGAGAGAGACCCTTTCTGTAAACGACAGACGACGGCGTCAACAAGACACGTCTGTGTACCACGAACCGACTACTTTAGCAACACTAGCAATTTAGGGGTCCAAATTTGATGGGGGCGTGTGTGAGACTTGACTTTCTCTCATCCCTTGGATTATTCCCCTTTTTTGCCATTTACCCTCTAGATGCGTTTCGTCTGTCCGTTTCGGCTCCCTCTGAGCCTCAATTCTTACCGACGGACACCGAAATGGTAAAGTGCAGCAAAACAAAAAGAAACAAGGGGTCATTGGGGTCCTTTTCTTCAGTAGGTTGTTAAGCCTACACCCATCGAAACGGAGAGCTAAGGTGGAGGAGGGGGGAGCAAGAAGAACCGCCGCCGAAATATTTGGCGAGAGTGATGCTGGTTACATGCGCATCGTGGGGTCCTTATTTTTCTTCTTTCTGTTCCCTTTTGGGTCTCTTGGGGGCTTTCTTCAGCTGGGGGTGTGGGCAAGGCCACGGCCAAGGCAAGGCAAGGTAACGATAACGGAGAATGTTGTAATTGCTACACAATGAGCGGTTGCGGTGTGTGTTGCTCTTCAGCTCGGCCTGGGCAGCGAGTGTGGGCACACACCAAGTTCCAACACCGGAAGAGAAAAAAAATCGCAAACGGAATCTCGGAGGCGACGGAAACTCATCAAGCCCCCGACGATACCTACCTTACCTACATCATACACCCACCGAGAAAAAACCATTAAATCCAACAGCCGCGCATCGCGGGCCTTGTCGCCGCCGCCCGCATGCTGACCAAAGCCGAGGGAACAACACCAGCAACAACATCCACCCCCCGGTAAATCGCCAAGCTTTTCCTGTCCCTCCCGGCCCGGCCCCCCTCTCCCAATGTGTACGAACATGTGTGGTGTTTGTCTGGCGTGCCCTGCCAAAACCCTTGCTTACGCGAGATGAGCACGATGCCAATGTGCCCTCGCCGCCTCGCCGAAGAAACCTGTGAGAGAATTCGAGTGAGTACGCCAAAGGGGGAAAAAAAAAAAAAGGGAAAAAGGGCCCGCGGCAAATGCCAAATCCATCCCAATACTACCCGCTTTGCTCGTCGCTACGGCTCTGCCCGTCATGCGCCCTACCCGCTCTCCCAACCGTCCAACCCACCCTTGCTTGCCTGCTTGCTTGCGCTTTCACGCCGTTGGCGCAACCACTCTCGTGTCTCCGTCTCCATCTCCTGCCCGAGGTTTTTTTCTGTCAACGTCGCGAGGGAGGAAGACCGAGGACGGGTAAAGATCTCAGATGATCTTCCCTTTTACCCACACACACTGCACACCGCACACGCACACGCACGCACTTGCACCCCCCCTTCGGTATCGATTCGCCAGACCGGCGGTATCAAGTTGACGATGACGCATGACGCTACCCGGTCTGCCACTCTGCCAGTCTGCTCTTCTTTTGCCGTAAACACGCCAGATTGTCCGTGGAGCAGCAGCAGCAGCAGCACCACACCGTGATAATCGTCATGTATGAACCATGACCAGCCCGCAATGTGATTGTGATGCCGAAAGTTGGGCGTCTGCGACGAGTAAGTCGCGGAAATCAAGCCGTCGTGTGGAGTTTGCCAGCGTCCTACCCCGGCCTGCCGGCCCCCCCCCCCCCCCAGAGCCGATGTTCGATAAACAGCAACGGTCATTGTCCGTGGTTACGGTCGTGCTGTCGTGCTTGCGTGATGGGCGATGGGTGATAACCTTGGATCGTGCGGTTCGGGTCGGTTATGCGTGGCCTACCTAACCCAGTCGCCCTCCATCCCTCCCCCCCTCAAACCCCGGGACCCAAAGGAAAAGTCAGCAACAGAAACCTGCAGATAGGGCTCTCACAGAACGAGGGAGAGAGGAAAATCAAACAATAACACCGCAAAGCAAAGCAAAAAGAAAAATGGCGGTCGGCCAATTGGGCCGCTGCGACGTTGCCAACAACCATGCGCATGGCCCCCATGTAGCTCTCTGTAGCCGTAGCCGTAGCCCGCAGGCGCACCACCACCCCCAAAAAGATGCTGCAGGTGTGTGTTAGCTCAGGCAGGCTGAGGGATTGAAGAGGGGGAAACACACGAGATTTGATTGATCGGCCCTGGGAGATTCAGGAACCCCGCGTCTGGGCCCGGTGTTCGTTGCGGCAGGCACGGAGGCTGGGAGGCTGGGGGACGCTGCTTGTCTGGAATCTGGCATGAGAGTCGAATGGTTCGCTCGCGCCATCTGTTGTCTCACAACAGCGAGGGGGGCTCGCTTCCCGTCTGGCAAGTCGCCCAAGAGGAGCGAGCCGCACGTGTTTACCCCATGGGCATATCAGACGCTGACAGGTTTCCTAGTTGCTTGTCGAGGTCAGAGCTCATTTTTCTTCACAAGGCGACGAGGAGCGGAGTAGTCATGTTGGTTTGGATGAATTATGTGTGGTATTATGAAAACTTTCTCTCATCTAGATTGTGGTCTTTGATGTAGTAGAAATGTGAAAGAACTCCGAATCTTTCCCCCAGATTTTTTTGATGCAAAACCCAAAAAGAGAACTTTCGCTCGTTACTTTCCGTCGAATCCATCCGTCTCTCTGAGAAAGGGAAGGGGGGTATCGGCGACGACAAAGTGGAAAAGAAATAAAAACTGAAAGGGGCTTCTGTGAAATCCTTCCCTCCCGAGTTGCCCCGTTACAATGCTGATGTCTATTAATACATGATGGTTGATGATGATGATGATGATGATGATGATGAGGGATGACGTTTCAAGTTGTATCCTGGTCCCGTGATGATGCTTCGCTCGTTCCGTTGGTAGGTCATTGATTAAAAGATTGGTTGTGGTTGTGGTGGTACAATGGTTGTAGTAGAGAGTTGGTTGGAATATTGCTCAGAGGCAATCAATGACGAAGCCAAGGTAGAAGAGAAGCGATTCTGTGACCGGCACGAAA